GATCAGAGTTGCGTTGTAATTGAAAATAAAAATAATATTTAATATTTTATATTATATTATTGTCGTTCATGGTAGATTCGAAAAGATTTCAAGATTACGAAGAAACTTTTACATCGGTAAAAGAACCGATTTTACATAAAGAAGCTAAAGAATGTTTGCCATATTATATTATATTTTTTTAGGTAAGGAATAACGTGGGATATATAAATCATTCTAAAAAAAAGTGCATTTTTTAGGGATCAGTTGGATCATGGTTGCGTAATATCAAAGAATATTATATTAAATACTAAATGAAAATATTTTATATTATATTTTAGTTGTTCATAGTTACGTAGAGTTAAAGATTTCGAGATTACGCGACAAAGTTACGTGGAAAGATTTTGTTGTCCATCTGGAAGAAAAGAATCAGAAGATCTTAGGGTAAAGGGACGTTAAGAATATTTTCTTTTCCTCTAACAATCTTATTTAATAAGCTTGTCTACAGTCGACCAAAGAAGAACAGCTTTTTGTAGAAAAACTGGTATCGGCAGGGTTGCAGTTACCATATTTGAGCTGTCATATTCTTCTATTTCGAGTGTTTCCGGGAAAACCAACTTCTTTTAGGTCAGAAGATTATTTGCGAAAGAGTTTTTGGTTTCGGTTTCGGTCAGCAGTACCGTTACCCCTCACAGGTCCCTAGAAAAGACTCTTTCCTTTCTTCCTTTCCTTTCTTTCCTTCTTTCCTTTCTTTCTTTTCCCTCTTTTAGTCTGACTACATTACGTCTATTTCGTTATGATGTGAACAAAGTGACTAAGAAAAAGAAACAATTTCTTCAGATCCTTAAATCGTTTTAACAAATAGGATTAGACAAATTTCTCTTGAAATATTTTTCTTACGAGAAAAGATTGAAATGATTTATTTGATTTATTTATTTAAACATTGTCAAAATAATATCTCGTTGATTTATTATCGTTTATTTTATTTATGCAATATTTTTCAGCTTTAGAACAAATTAGATATAAAACTACGTTGAAACAGATGCATGAAAGAGGAAGGCCGTATAAGAGAGCAAAGAAATCGAAGAATCCTCTCAATGGAAAACCCTTTGCAAAGGGCGTCATTCTAAAAACTGTTATTAAAAAACCGAAGAAACCTAATTCTGCTAATCGCAAATGTGTTATCGTTAAATTATCCACCGGAAAGGAAATGACAGCATATGTACCTGGTAAAAATAAGAAGAAATATTTCATTTGTATTCTTTTATTTAACGCTTTCTTTTTAGCAAGTTTTGAAAACAACAAAAAATAATGTATTTTTTTCTTGATTGTATCGAAATTTAGGAATAGGTCACAATTTGCAAGAACACAATGTGGTACTGTGTCGAGTTGGAAGATTGCAAGATACTCCTGGTGTTAAAATAAAATGCGTTCGGGGGAAATACGATCTTCCTCATGTTAAACGAAATTAATGTACATATTGTAGATAATAATTTAAATAAAATATGACAATAATAATAATAATAATAAAATATACATCTATATATATAAAATTGATTTCATATATATATATATGTAAAATAGAAAATGTATGTGACGAAAGTAAGGTACAGTTATTTAGCTATTGAATTTCTCCAACCAATATATAAATGTGTAGCATGGTCACGCTTTTGTAAATCTTCGTACGCCTGTAAATTGCGACCCTTTGACACATATTTTGAACACCGTGCGCTTTTACAGTGCATTTCTATCTAACGGTAAACTATGGGCGAACCACGCGTCCTTTACATTATACGCACATACATATACATACGTAAATCCATCTACAATGCATCCTCACGTTTAGATATCCACAATGTGAAAAGGGTTCTGATGCAGCAGCAGCCCTCGTCTTTCGACGTTATTACGGTAGGGTTGCACGCAGTCTTCTTTTACGCATCTGCACTTTCCTCATTCACCCACGCCGGTCACTGCTTGGCTATTGACCATATGACATCCTGACCAACATCAAGATACTTTTGGAAAAACTGGTTCTCAAACTAATCATCACGATGTGAACCTTATTAACAAAATATTAAACTAATTATTAATTTTTTAATATTAACAAAAAAATATCTCATTGGAAATATAAAATTTTTGTAAAATTGAATTTTTATAATGATTCAAATGATATTTTCCAATAAAATAGTATTTAGGGATGAGTAAAACAATGGATCGTGAAGAAAAGAAATACAGTAGTTCAGAAATTTGATTTCGATTTCTTTTTCTTAAATATTCACATTGGCATTGGGAATTTTCTTTTCTAACTTTATGACAAAGGATTTTTTCTATTGTACGAGCATGAGAACCCAATATTAAGCACGCCTACAATGGTCTCTTAAGAAGGGACGAGATGACTACGATGACACTGAATAAAATTGCCACGAGACTAACACGCGCCTACCAATGGTTGCATTCGTCGTCTAATTTTCGTTAACATTTTCTTTCTAATTTGCCAATGAATGTTGAATTTTGTCCTAAAAATAAATCGTAATACGACGAAAGTAAAATTTAAATCAGTTGATATATATTATGGTATATATTCTTTGATATAGATCTCGAAGTATAATAAAAGTAAACCGTAGGATGCCAATAATGAATACTTATAAATGGAAAAAATCCTTGAGAAAAGGAATCCTTTTTTGAATGGGTCATTCTTAACTGTAAATCAGTAGCGATCATTAATCATTTTTAAAAATATTTTCAATCGATTATATAAGGTGAACAAATAATTTTTCTTTAGTTGAAATAAATCAAGGATAACTTTGTCAAAATTGAAGATACAATAAATATTACAAAAATTAATTGAATATTATAAATAATTTACGATCATATAGAACCCGTTTCGTTATTCCTTATATATACATATTCCGTTTTCCTTTTTTTGTTTAAACAGTAGAAAAGTAACAGAAAAAGGTGAAATTCAAAACTTTGCTCGTTCTTCCAAATGCTTTTTCGTTGGGGTTTGTTGTGTCAACTCTTTACCGTAAGGCTTAGTAACGGGACACCGCGAGATTTGCTCTCGAAAGTTTTTGTCATCTGTAAACCATGATTTTGTGAGGACAAAATCTTTGTGGTCTTTCTCATGAATTTTGAATTCATCTTTTGCGATCGCAGATGACCCATTGCCGTATATTTTACATGTACTTTATAGATATATAAGATCTAGATGATCGAGTAAGGAATAATATATATATATATAGATGTATATACACACATATGCAAAGAAAAGAAGTATTTTGTGAAACGAAGGAAAGACGTTTTGTGAGAAGAATCATATATTTATGAAAAAGGCGTGTCAAATAGCAACGCCCTAAATAGACAAAATAGAAACGTTACCACCGGAAGTACGCAAATCTTAAAAAGTATATGTGCGTATAATGTTGACGAAACTTTATTGGTGGTCCCTAAAAGAAGATAAATCACTTAATAATTACCTAAGTATCCCATCGAGTTCTCTTTTTCCTACTACTCAATGTGTTCTCGATTTTGTTATACAATTTTTATTTTTCTACAATATTTTTTTTTTTCGTTAAATAAATTTTTGCGTTAAAATTAGAAAACAACGATTAGAAATATTTTATATCTCTATATTTTTCTTTGTTTGAAATATACACACGTATGTGTGTATTTTTCATTTCAAATTTTTTCTTATTATACGTTGTTTATTCTTTTTGCTTTTTTTTTCTGTTATAAACAAATTACATAAGGTTATATTGTATTTGAATAAGAAGAAGAAGAAGAAGAAGAAGAAGAAGAAGAAGAAGAAAAACAAAGAAATATCTACTTACATGTTTATTTACTATTGATATAAAGTAATCAGTCAAATTGTATAAAAGTTACTTAACTATATGTAAAAGATTATTTATTAAGTAATATACTTTGACTACCTTGAAAAATATTCTTCTATAATTTAAATTACATTAATATAAATGTGTGTTACGTCATTATTACTCACTTAATATATATGTATTTGACTAATGCATTTTTTATCGCAATTTCTCAACATTCGATACGTAATAAATATAATCTCACGTAACATTAGAAAATTCCATAAGAAATCCCAGAAAAAGGTACCATTAACGAAAAAGATATGGATATAAGTAATTTGGAATTATTCTATAATAATAAAATAGCGTTAGGTAACAAAAACATTAGTTGTTAATATCATTAAATAACAATATACGTTTTTCTCGGAAAAAAAATTAGATAACACGCGTAATAACAAATATTAGATAAAACGAAGAACGGAAAAATGGAAACTTTGGAAAATAAGATATTAAAAAAAGATCAAGGTAAAATATTTTTTCCACGAAAATGCGAATCAACGAAGATCTTTTTTTTTTCTTTTTCTACTTCTTTTTCTACGTAAAAGTATAAGGGCAGATGCAAAATAAAATCTTTCGTATTCATGCGTATCGAAAGAAGTAGAAGGTGGATGGCCACGGGAAAAATTGGAAAATAACGGGTTATTTTTGCTATTCAAAATGTGAGCTCGAATATGAGAAAGAGAGAGAAAGAGAGAAAAAAGAAGAAGAAGAAGAAGAAAAATAAATTTGTATATATACGAGGAATAAAAGGGGGGGGGGTGAGAGGAATGATATGTGACATTTTCTATTTTCTAAAAAGAGACGACTAAATTTGGCGTGATTGTGGAATCAAAATGAAATAGTCTCTGTCATCAATCGTAGATGAATAAGATAACTGTACCAAGAAAATGAAAGAGTTGCAGGTAAAAGAGAAAAAAGAAACCAAAAGCGAACGGGTTATGAGAAATTTCAAAAAGTAAAGGGAAAAATGTATTTTACGTTAAATTGTGCTCTCAAGGTTTTTCGGATAATTTATCATGAATTCCAATAATTCGATTACCCCCAATGGATATTTCTTCTTTTATTTGTTAATGAAATTTTTATGTAAATTTTGTATTTATCTAACCCAAATCTTCCTGTAAAAGTACACCGAAAATCATTAATCAAGTATAAAACTGTCAAGTAAAAATATTCGAAATAAAAAATCCAGGTATTAAGAAGAATTTAAGGGGTTGTTTACAGAAAATTCTAAAGAAAGGTTTTTACATGACTCTTTCATCTGGTTCGACTCGATAACCTTGATCTAACTACGTTTTACCGTTTCCAGTCTCTGTTCACAATTTTCAAAAATAACCTTATTTTTGTTAAATTCATTCTTAACCCTTTTTGTAATGTAATTTGAGACTATATTGTGACAATAAGAACCCCATTGATCTATTGTTAAGATCAACAAATGCCGTAACATACTGTGCTACTTTCTCAGCTACTATTTTTTTTTTTATTCGTTTTCTTTTTTCTTTCACAATATTTTGAACATTTTCAAATATTTATTATTTAAACAATTTATATATGCAAATAATATAACGCGTACGCGTTTATTCGTACGCGTTCGTGTACAAACAATTTTCATTTAAAGCATTTCAAAATATTGTTTTATTCCAAATCTTTTGACGAAAGATTAATATTTTTTTTTTAAATAAATAAAACGAAGCTAAATATATACGCGTACGTTGTGCAACTAATTATTATATTACCAATCTATTTTACATACATATAAATACAAATGTATACGTACACGTAAAAGAAATAACAAATTTCGATCATATTTCATTTTTAATAATATTCATTTATTTTTATTTTATATTTACATGTTTAGGTAGCCGTTTAGTTGTTAACGGTTATACAATTGATCTATATTTATAATTTTACAAATAAATATGAATACAATTAATTTTATTAACATGTGAAATATAAATAAATAATTTGTATTTTAAATTTATCATTATAAATTATAATTATAATTATTAATATATTATTATAATTATAATAATATTTATATTTATAATTATAAATACTCTGTATGTGTATAATGAAAGAACTATTTGGAAGTATCCTTCTACTTTTTGTGAAAAGGGACCGATACCCCCACCACAGTTCTTCAAGAAGTTCTCCTACCCTTTTCCGAACAACCCTTGTAAATGGTATAAAACCTACTGAATTTAGGTAGATATCTTAAACGTTCTTCGTCAGTCTTAGGAAGTAGCCAGTCAGTGAGCATCTCGCAATTCCTCAAACAGATTCTAAGTTCCTTTACACGGCGTCTGTGACTAACTAATGTGTCTGTTTAAAAATTTATCGTAAAATATTGTGTCATACAGAGATAGTGATTACAGTGCAATAAATAAAGATTTTACATATATATATATATTCAAATTTTTTATAAGTGATCAAATAGTTACTTATAAAGTATTTGTTAATATTCAACAGAAACTGAACTAGTCCCGGAAAACCAAAAAGAAATATTTTTATTTCTAACATTCTAACTAAGTGTATATTCTAACTAATTACAAAAGTCACCTTTGATTTGATCTTTTATATATATTATAACAGATTACGTTCTATTTCGTTATACGTGCGAGTTTTGTGTTAATTGAAGAAAACAAAAACTAAATTTTCTTTCTCAGTAAAAAAGGAAAAAGTGTGAAAAAGAAAAAAATCATCAAAAAAATGGATATGAATTCGGCGGCTATACTTTATAATACGCAATCACAAATTTGTGCAAATTATCAAGTCCCTCTGAACGAACAAAAAAACCCGTCATCACCTAACGAATCAATGGAACAACCAACAGACTTATCCAATTCATCTAATCACAATACTTCGGAAGACACAGTTTCAGAAGGCTCGATATTAGATTTGTCATGCAAATCAACATCATTTTCACTTAAGACCAGTAATAATCCTGACACGATTCAAACGATGGTAAGTGATATACCTGCGGTATACACGACAAATCTTAATACTCGTAAAAGAAGATACACCAATAATTCTGATACATTATCATCGGAATCCGACTCAGGAAATATAAACGAACACGAAGAAAGATCACCGAACATTCTTATGATGAACAATAATAACACAACCCAAGTACCATCTTATTTGCCAATGAACGTCCCGATTGCAGTTCCGATTCCCCCAACTTCAACGATATTATCTAGTTTGCTCACTTCAAATCCATTTGAACCAAATAGGAATAATATCATTAACACGAATATTCAATTATCAACCATTGCAACGCCAACAATACCACCAATTAATCTCTATAATCACGAAAATTCGAAAACAATGCCTAGACCGTTTAAAGCTTATACTTTAAATGCTCCGCCTAACAGTATTAATTCGGCTTTTTCTCTAAATTCCGATAAGTCGTTTGCAAAATTTCGAGAACAGGTACTTATGTCAGTTAAACATCAAAAAGAATCGTCTAATCCTAAAATGCGAAGACCCAAGAAAACTTCATCATCGGCAGTACCAACAAGTACCGTAGAGGAAAAGGATGCTGTTTATCTTGAAAAACGGAGAAGAAATAACGAAGCCGCTAAACGTTCGAGAGATGCTAGAAGAGCTAAGGAAGATGAAATTGCAATAAAGGCTGCTTATTTGGAACAAGAAAATATGACGCTTAAAATTAACTTGGATGTACTCAGGGAAGAATGCAAACGGTTGGCTAGTATAGTAAACAAGTATAATGGCGCTTAGACGATTCAATTTTCATTTGTGAACAAATTAAATGTTCACGTCATATTATTCCTTCGTGTAATGGAATAATTATCCTGTACAGTAATTTTAATAAGAAAAATATGTTCAAGAAGATATATCAGATTAAGAGACATTCGTTCATTCGTTCGTTCTGTTCATTACACCTATCTAATCACATTTTTAACTTTTTCTAATTGTAAATATAAAAAGCTAAATCATTTTATTATACTGTTAAATTATTTTTATCTTTATGATTAACATATTTATATATTTATATATGTATATCGATAATTATGCATTAAAATAAAATATTGCAACAACAACAAAAAAATAAAAAAAAAAATAAAAGAAATTAATTTTATCATTTATAATATATGAAAATGATTTAACTTTCCTTACTTATAAGATAAATTATAAAATTTTATTGACGTTATTCATTATCATAATTATTATCACATAGAACGTCAACGTCAATGTATTATATTATACCATTTGTATGTAGATTATTTTTTGATATTATTAGACGGATTAATGAACCGAATATTTACCGTAAATAATAAAAATTAATATAATATAAAGTTATATCGAGTTAGAATGGGACACAATGGCTTACCGTCCTAAGCGCATTCCCCTTCCACAAGCTTCCATTTCATAAGGGGTGACTCAGAATTTGTCTATTTTTTTCTTCATACTTTTTACTCTTATTTAATCGCAGGTAGAAATTATTTGTTCAAACATTCGCGAAAAGAAAAAAAAACAATAATTACAATTTTTCATGTATAATTATGTATAATAATAATAAAATGATATTTGCGGCTGTGAGCATTGAATTTTGGTGCATTTGCAAATAAGAATTATCAATAAAATTTAATCCTGTTATTACAAATACTTTTTATACACGTAAAAATTTGAATTATTTTTTATCGCGTAAGCGTAGACCACCGAAACAAATAATTTCACCTATTATTAAAACGAGGAGAGTAATATTAATATATCAAGAGCTCATCGAAATCAGAGAATAAATTTTAAGAATCACCAATTATAAAATACAGACAATTGTATAACGTACTAATAATTATGACAATAATCTAAATTTACAAAAATTGGTTTTATAAATAATTTATTTTATGTATAAATTATTTATATTATAAAAAAGAAATAATCATTTCTATTTTTTTTTTTTTTTACTTAGTTTACTGTCAAAATTATTATTTTATATGCTTGTGAAATACTGGTAAGCCACGAAAAAATACAGCATTAAAGTTAAGAAACAAAAAATGGATAACAATTGATAAATGTTTCAAACTTCGTTTTGTCAACAAACTAAACGCTGTAAGATATTCGATAGTTTTATTCATTTTATAGATTTAATAAACATTTGAATTTTATTATTTTGGTCTTTTGGTTTCAAATAATTTTTCTAGTTTTTCTAGTCTACAATTTTTTGTATACTTTCTTGTAATTCGTATTTGTTTAATTATCACATTTTATAATTGATCAATACATTTCAGAATCTAATTTCTTGCTAAAGACGAAATTTAAAGTATTATTAAATAATCTATAAAAACCACATGTAAATAAAATTCAAATGGAAGAATTATTATAATAAACAGTAAAACTTCCAATAATATATGTGAATATTGTTTTACTGTTTACGTACTAAATACACATGTATATATATATATATATATATATAGAAAATTATCATTTAATATATTTATGTAAGATATATATATTAATATATTTATGTAATATATATTTATGTAACATATATATATATATATATATATATATATATATATATATATATATAYATRTATCTTATATATAACTATGTATTAAATACTATATAAATATTTGCAATAAATGTAGGCTAATAATTGCGTTATTATATACTTATAAAAAATAACTCTTAACCAGCTACTTATGATTAACACTACACGACTAATAAAGAAACATTTTTTTAAATTATAATACCAAGCACGTCTTTCAAAAGTTATTCCACAAAAAAACATTAGAAAAATAATAGTCGAAAACAATTAGGATATTAGTATTTAACTTGCAAAATATTATTATATATTGTACCTTGCTTCAATCAATTATTATTCAGCAACAGCAGATTACATTTCTAACTAATCATTCTTTTAAGTAATTAATTTTTTTGATTGTCTTTTTTCCATATGCATATTATATACTTATATTAAGTATGACTTAAGTAAGAAGAAGAATAAATGTTAATATTAGAATTGCAAATTTTATACAAAAATAATACAATCATTTGATTAGAACTTAATTTAATATTACAACAGCTGCATATATTGTCTTGGACGTGTATACTCGTTATCATTTCATATTTTGGCAACATAATTTAGGTGTATAGATTTTAAAGAGGTCATCATAGGTAACTGGTTAATCAGGTAGAGATTGTGCTAAATCTGACATACATTCTGCTTCAAGAACATTCCTTTCTTTATTTTGTTTTTTACTAAGAGTCCTTGCATATGATTTTTCTACTTGTCTAGGTATAAACATTAAAGATGCATTTTTATCGATATTAGTAACCGTTGTGCTAGAAGAAACGGTACAAGTTGCGGCAGAATTTTCAAAGTTACTTATTCTACAATTTGTATTAAACGTTTTCATTTTTTGATTCTTATTTAATAGGATTTTCTTTTTCTTTTTCTTTTCCTCTTCCTCTTTTTCATCTACAATGTCAATATCCATTTTGTTAGTTGAATCTACATCCATTTTATTATTGGAATTTTCTTTTTTTATATACGGCATATCGAAGCGACAATTTTTTGGATATTTATGTACATTGATACAGTGTTCTCGTCTTTCATTTGGATTATTAAACTTCATATTACATTGAGAAACATAACACTGATACTAAAAAGAAACAAAAAGATATAATATTAATAATCATGTTAGAAAATATATGTATAAGATACAACAAAAAATATAATTACCATTGGTTGTTTTTCCGATAACAGCTTGAAAAATGTATCGTGCGTTTCTTGAATATGAATTTCTAATAATCTAGAATTTGGTTTAATCTTTTTACACTCCATACAAATATATCGGTGGCAGGAATTATAATGCATTTCAAAATCTAATAATGTTTTAAATACTTCTGCACATTGTGAGTTGGGACAAGGAAACTCTTTAATGCTGAAACAAACAAATCATTAATGTTAATTAATGCAATATTTTATTAACTAATTTTGTGTGTTTTCTATATGATCCTATTATTTATCACACTATATATATGTATAATAAATGTGTATATTACATGTCATGGCATAAATCTTCATCATCTTCAGCTATAACTCCTTTCCTTTGAAATATCTTGCAACTTTTATAAGTTTCATCAAAAAAGGGATCATCTATAGGTCTCACACCAACCCCAATACTTTTTAGAAATTCCATAATAATAAATATAAATAACAAGTAGAAATTATTATTAAATATATATGATAATAGCTAAAGATATATTTAATAACTTTTGAACTCTTTTAAAACTTTTTCTTTAACATAACCTCACAATTAGTAACAAAAAAATTGGACATTTAACCATTTATTTACAAACAGTGATACAACAAATACGTGATTGTGATTGGCTTATTTCTCAAAACTATGCAGGTAGTTACACATTATTGAACATAGATGGTGTAATATTACCAAGATTGGCTTGTTGCTTACTTCTCGATGTTAGTTAGTCAGTATCAGTGAATATAGATAGCGCAGTAATCGAAAAAACGGTAAAAGTAAAAAACAAGTATACAATATTGCGTTATTGTCAAAGATAAATTAAAAATCAAACAAAATTCTCAATTTATTTAAAAACATAACTGATAGATTTTATATTAATGTATAAATGTAATAATACATTTAATAGTGCATGTATCAAGAGCTGTTAAAATATTTATTATAATCAAATAGTTATTATTAAAGTGAACAAATCAAATTAAATATTATCAATCTAGTGATTATTATTCAAATAAAAGATTAATAATAAAAATTTTGTTATAATTGAAAACAAATAAAGATAAAGTTATGGAAGACAAAGATAAAGAATCATCCAAAAATTTGGATGATAATGAAAACGATAATAAAAATGATTTGCAAGAAAAGGTTAGTTCAGAATTGTTGAATAAAGAAGACGAAAATATGGATGAAAAAGAAACGATAGCCTCTTCAGAAATAAATGAAAAGGTGAATGATCGTCCTATTAAAATAGAATTTAAAAAACCAACTATTATGATTGGACCAAAGCGTGGAAAACGTAAGATATCATCACTTCCTAGTTCAACTACTTCAATTAAAGTTCAACAAGAAATTGAATCAAATAATGAAGAAACAGATACACCTTTGGATAAAGTTACGCCAAATACAAATCAAATAAAGTCGTCGTTAAATGACAAGAAAACTACTTGTTCTAAAGCTCAAAAAACTTCATTAACTTTGAAGTATGACGAACCTAATTGGAGTGGAATACCAGAGGACGAATATAAATTGGAAGTATTGAAATCAGGCGTTATTGTTCAAACTATCAATTTAACTGGCAAAAGTTATCACGTTGTTGGAAGGTTACCTCATTGCGATATTTCTCTTGCACATCCAACCATTTCAAGGTTTCATGCAATAATCCAATATAGAGGAATAGAAGATGAAAATAATTCTAAAGGATTGTATGTATATGATCTAGGAAGCACACATGGTACTTATTGGAATGGAAATCGTGTACCTCCTAATGCTTACGTGAGATTGCATGACAGTCACATTATTAAATTTGGTTGTAGTGCACGTAAATATATTGTACAAGCACTTCATGAAAGTAAAGAAGAAGAGTCTGAATTATCTTACACGGAATTAAGGGTATGAAGTTGTTTTAAATTAACATTTAAAAAATATTTTTATTATTTTTTCATCTGTGACTAAAATATTTATTATATTTTTTTTTTTTTTTAGGAAAAAAGAATGTTAGATTTACAAGAACGTGAAAAAATGAAGGCAGCACAGCGTTCACAAATGAACGAAGAAGAAAGATTGAGACAAGAAGAAGAAGAAGAAAATGAAGGCATTGATTGGGGTATGGGCGAAGATGCTGATGAAGAAACGGATTTAACAGAAAATCCTTACGCTGCTACAAATAATGAAGAATTATATCTTAACGATCCGAAGAAAAGTTTGAGAGGATGGTTCGAACGTGAAGGATATGATTTGCAATATCACACTGAAGAAAGAGGATTTGCACAATTTCTTTGTTGGGTCGAGTATGTATTTTATATTTTTTTTTTTTTTTTATAAATTACATTAGAATTATATTAATAAATTATACAATGTTCTATTAGTTTGCCTATCGAAAATATTGCTGGTCATACAGTAAGAGCTGAAGCACTTGTTAAGGGAAAGAAAAAAGAATGCGTTATTCAGTGCGCTTTAGAGGCTTGTAAAATTTTGGATAGATATGGATTACTTAGACAAGCGACTCATGGTACGTTATTTAAAATTTTTATTTTCTATAGAAATAAAAATATTCATAAAAAAAATAATTATTATATTATAATTTCTATATAAATATTTTAGAAAGCAAAAGGAGAAAAGTAAGAAACTGGGAAGAAGATGATTACTATAGTTCAGATGAAGATAATTTCCTCGATAGAACTGGGTCTATCGAAAAGAAACGACAAAAAAGAATGAAATTAGCAGGAAAATTAGAACCGCAAAAGGATACATACGATGCATTGGTATTATTTAAACATATTTTATTTCACATAAGATTTATATTTTAATTGTTTCTAATTTAATGAATTATTTTTGGAAAAGATGGAGAAATATGATACAGTTGTAAAACAGATTACCGATTTGGTTGAATGCATGAGAAAGTCGCAAAAGTTTGAAAGTGAATCTTCAAAGAATGAAGAAGAAGAAGAAGACGCGTTAGATGCTTTTATGTCATCTTTAAATGTGACTATTTTGACTAAAGCTGATAAACGTAAAATGAAGGTCAAATTACAAGATTTACGACAAGAAGAAGCTAAATTGATAAAATTATTAAATCCCTTGCGACCAAGTAATTTGCCACCTTTAAGCATCCATATAGTACCTTTAAATGAAGGACAAAAGCCAAGTGAAATGTTTGATAGGGATGTAAAAATGAATCAAAAAACAAATTATCAAACTTCACAAGATGTAAGTAATCAATCTTTGTATTAATTTTTTATTGATTACTTTTTAAGTTGTATTAAATTATTATTTTACGCGTAACAATCTGTGAAATTTTACAGGAAACAACTGTCGTGGATTCTAAAAATACTTTGCAATCCAAGCAAAATAATATTAATATTGTTGAAAAGGAAGAATCAAAGAAAAGTAGTAATGAAGATAGTTCAGAAACTAGTGACGACAAGAGTTCAAATACTAAAGAATCTCTTGAAGATACATCCCAGACATCAATAAATACAACAGAAACGGAAGATAATTTATCTAAAGTAAAAGATGTAAGCGTTGAAACAAAAAATTTACCCAAAATAGTTCCTAGCATTCCTCCGAGCGATCAATCGTCTACGAAAACATCCAAAATTACTAAAACAGTAAAAGAAACTTATGACAAGGACGTATACAACGAGAATTACTCAACGTGGGTTCCGCCACAAAATCAAAGTGGAGACGGAAAGACAAGTTTAAATGATAAATACGGCTATTAAAAATTTTCTTCATTTATATTTTGAATTTAATATATTGAAAATTGATTACAAAAGGTATCACTGGAGATGTTAATCGCTCCGTTGTCGAGTAACGCGTGGGAGTGATTTACGATCGTTAAGGATTTTTTTAAACCGTATATATAAGAAGAAACTTTGTTTGTATAATATTGTAAATATAATCTTTCTAATATATTTCTATTGAATTTAATTTATAGGTTAAATAGCCTTACAAGTAAGATAGAACACTGGACTAATTTTAAATGTCGCGCCATTTTAATCGCGACGTTGCTAACGAGATTATCGATTAATTCATAATCGAGAATGCACAATCGAAATTCGATAGAAGAAACAAATCGATTATTTTCATCGATTACAATATCGAGTTTCGAGAAAGTGGAGTCGCGTGTTTTTGCTGAGCTGGATTGTGTTTACATCCTAGAAAACTGTTTATCACTCCGTCCTCCCCTCCCTTAATCCGAATCACAAGCTGTGCAGTGGCTATACACACGCATATACATACTATAGATATTTTTTTTTTTTTTTGGAAAATCGCGTAGCTTTAAACGGCCCGGATTTCCCTTTCTTTCGAATGTTAATATTACCTCCCGGACATTTTACTATTTTTTGATCGTACTTTTGGTCGAGAGTAAGCATCGTGAGGTCTGAACGCGTTCGAAAAGAAGAAAGGAAGCAGCTTAATTTTTTGGAAAAATGAAGGTGACGGTAACAACCCTGAGCGACGATATCTTCGTCTTGGATGTCAGTGAAGATCTCGAATTAGAGAATTTTAAGGCCTTCTGCGAAATCGAAAGCGGCGTACCGGCCCACGAAATCGTCATTGCATTCAACGGCCTACCATTAATGGACGATAAGAAGTCTCTTAAGGACCATGGCATTCGTGATGGTGACGCTGTTATTCTACAACACATGCATCAGAGTGGCACGGACTTGAGCATTAACCCCTTTAACGGAGGTCAGCATATAAACGCTAATTGACCGTGTTCCGACATGAGGTTAGCCTCTCGATTTCAGTTTTTGAATCTTTTCCAATTCGTTAACATGTTTATCAAAGAAATCGAGAAATTTCTATACTTTCTCTCTCTCTCTCTCTCTTTCTTTCTACCTCTCTGTTTATCTTTCTTTCTCTCTCTTTTTTTAGATTCTTTTTCCTTCTATTTTGAATTAGTATATAATCTGTGTGTATTTATGAACCGTTCACAAACCAAAACTCTATTAACACAACTTGAAATCATAGCACTTGATCAATTAATTAACATTTTATATTTTAAATAGATGTTTATAATACATTGACTTATCATAAGTTGCAAGGCTTGTTGTTACTTATGGGATTTTCATGATGGTCATTAATTTACTTATGTATTGTATTACCACATTTCTCTATTACATATGTTTAATAATTATACTTAATAATATGACGATAAATATAATTGTCTTTAATTTTTGTGTGAAGTTGATCGATATGGTAAATGAACGATTCATATATCTTTCTTCGTTAAAGTTGTAGAATTTTGAATAATAATTAGGTAATTTGTATTAAAAAGAATGATAATTAAATTGAATTTGAAAATTCGTTGTTTCAGTTATTCCTAGATTGGACTTCAGTTCCATCAGAGTACCAGGAACATCGAACAATAGGCAAATACCAATTCCAATTCCAACTTCAGCTGCAAATAGTGCTGCACATAGAATACAAAATCCACGTAGCGAAGATGATCCAGCAATGATAAGAGATATGTTCTTGGCAAATCCAGATCAACTGGCATTGCTTAAGCAAAATAATCCTAGATTAGCGGATGCCCTGTTGTCTGGGAATTTAGGTAAATACATAATATTCATATCAATGTTCATTTCTTCGAACGGACATATATATATAAATAAAAGTTAAAAAAAACAAAAAACAATTGTAGATAGATTTTCGATTGTATTGAGGGAACAAATCAAGGTCAGGGAAGAACGACAAGTACAAAGATTAAGAATGATGAATGCAGATCCGTTAGATACCGAAGCACAAAGACTGATTGCAGAAGAAATTCGGCAGAAAAATATTGAAGCAAATATGGAAGCAGCTATGGAATATAATCCTGAAACATTTGGCACTGTTGTTATGTTGTATATTAATTGCAAAGTTAATGGATTTCCTGTTAAAGCATTTATTGACTCAGGTATATATTTTAATATTTCAGTTGGATAACGAACTAAATATATAAAAATCTAAAAGAAAAAAAAGGTATGCATGCGTGCAAGCATTTTTTGCTTGAATTTATTTTTAAATTTCTCTCACTCGATTTATTGGATATCTATTTTTAAATCGTACTGCGTTGAATCATTTTGAATCCTTCTTGCATTTTCACTGTCCGACTTATTTTTTTCACTTAATTTTAGATTTATTTATTACAGATATTTTGTATTATTTGAAAAAGGCGATTATAGTAATAATTGTCAAGACATTAACATTGGAAATATTATTTATTTAATTAGGTGCACAAACAACGATAATGTCTGCAGCTTGTGCTGAACGATGTCACATTATGCGTCTAGTTGATACTAGATGGGCTGGAGTAGCCAAAGGTGTTGGTGTTCAACGCATCATTGGACGAATTCATATGGTTCAAATTCAAATTGGTAATGACCATCTTACAACATCCTTTAGTGTACTCGAAGAACAAAGGATGGATATGTTACTTGGTTTAGACATGTTGAAAAGGCATCAATGTTGTATAGACCTAAAATCAAATATATTGAAAATAGGAACCACAGGAACTGAAACTTCATTTTTAGCAGAAGGTTAAACTATGATTGATAATTTATTGAACAGAAGATCTTTCATTGGGCTATGATTGAATTTATTATTTATTTTAAAATATTTTTCAACAGGTGATTTACCAGAATGTGCAAGATTAAGTGGTAATAGCGATGAATCATTGGACGATAGAGATCTACACAGGGCTTTAGAAGATAGTACAAGAGAAGCAAAGAAGCAAAGACAGTTACACGGTATATACACGTATATACATATAATATAAATGATTTTCAGTATTAATAATTATTTATTACATTTATATTTAATTATTCATCAAATATATATAATGGTTAATTTCATGAAATTTGTTTGAAAAAAAAAATAATAATAATAATAATGAACAATGTGTAATAATATAAAAATGATATTTTCTTGATAACATCTAAAGTAAATAATACAGTGTTAATGTGATAATATTATTTATAGAAAGCCAAGGCCACAGCAATTCGGTTGGTGCATCTTCATCCAACAGATTGGCTACGTTAGAGACTACCATTTTTTTACATGATCCATTTAATGAAGCAACAGTAAAAGAAATTGAAGCGTTAGGTTTCGGTAGAGCTCAAGTAATTAGCGAGTTGCGCAGGTTTAATGGCGATAAAGCACAAGCTACAGCAGCATTGTTTGCAAAATCCTTAAAATTCTAATGATGAAACCTATCATATACAATATTTAGCAATACTAATAAAAATCTGTGAATATATAATAAGAAAAAGATGCATTAAGAAGACATTGCGATGGACATGTAGCAAAGTTTATACCTGTAAATTTATACCTGTTTTTACATAGCAATTTTCCATAACGTTCATGTTATACTTATTGACTAAAACTAATGACGTTACAAAAAAATAATCTTTTAGAATGTTCTGTATAACAGGTTGATAAAATACTTAATCAATGATTTATGTATATTAAGTTTAATGCGTAAACTTATATATATATAAAAAAAAAAAAACCCTAAAAATATAAAGGGGGGAAAAAAATCATAAGATTTTATACAAGCGATGAAAAGATATTAATATTGAAAAAAGTTAATCCCTGATACAGTAAAAAGTTAAGGAGTGCTTGTCATGATAATTTACATTATGATTTAGATATTTGTAAGTAAAAAAAAAAAAAAAACAAAAAAAAAACAAAACGAAAAAAAACAAGGATGCTTATAAAATATACAATTAATACATTTCAAGAATTATAAAAAATTGGATATATATATATATATATATATATATATATATATACAATTCATATTTTTTATTAAAAACAAAATTTTGTCTCTGGTAATTTGTTTTTAAAGTAATTATGAAAGTTATAAAATAATAATGTGACGCGTGCGCGCACGCGCGAGCGATGATTTTACAACATAAGACCACCTGAATAAATCAATTATTATTAATGATGCAAGCTAAACAACTGTCCGACGAAATAATTTTGGTTTCAAGAGTTACATGATTTTATGTTTGCGTAAGTGGATGCGTGGAAATCATATTAATATTTTTAAATGAAATGAAATATTTTTTTTTATCTATTGTCCAATAGGTAATATCTCTTTTTGACATATTGAACGTTGGTGCTCACATTGTTTACAACAAATGAAGAAATATTTATCAGTAAATAAATATTTTTAAAATGACTATTGATCTGATTTTTTTCTTTCACAGTCCTTCGTAAGCGTTCGTTTTATAAATTGAAATAATATAATTCAATATTAATAACATATTAACTCGTAAAACACATTTACTTAGAATAGAAAAATAATCATAGAATTATTCAAGGATGGCGTTCAATATGTTAATCTTTTGAGGATACAAATTATACAGTAATTCGATTTATCGCTTTATATTTATGAGCGATAATATACATATCGGTACAGTAAATTAAACAGTATTATATTTTCTTTAATAGAAAACATTGTGCGACTTTTATTTTGCGGTCCCTTTCCGCCGCTTAAAAACAGATTTTACTGTATCTCCAAAAATAATTTGAATTTGGATAAATCCTCTTAAGAATATATTCTTAAAAGGTTAAGCTTTGAAAATATGAAAAAAAAAAAATCAATTTTTTCCAATTTTTTAAACCAGAATACCCCCTCAATGACTATCGTAAATATTTAAATTTCGATGTAAAAATTATACATCATGTTGTCTAATCTAACAAAACATATTCGGATTAAAAAAAAAATGAAATAATATTTATTACTTAACGAATTTGACTAAAATCATATTTTTATATATAAAACAATTTAATCCAATCGCATAGATTAATTTTTTTTTTAATTTACACAATTAACAATATATTAAATAAATATAATTAGTTGAACACGTTTATATGATAAATTATCCATTACTCTGAATTCTAAAATAATATTGAAAAAAAAAAAAAGAAGTCGTTAATAGTCTAAAACAATTGAATATAATCATGTTAATTAGAAAATAATTAAATAAAATATTGCGTTCGTCTGAAAAGAAAATTTCTCCAGTTTTTACCAGTTGCTAATATGCGTTTATTTAAATCTTATAACATTCTCTGATACTGTTAAGTTTTATACTTTGTAACTTGATGCTTTATGTGGTAATATCATTTATTAATCGTAAGAATACAACATATCTTTTATTACTCTCCATTTTACGGATTTAATTAATCTATTCTATAAAAAAAAATCTTTTCACGCAAGTCCTATATTATTTGTATTATTTTTAAAACATATAATCATATAAGTATGTATAAATGTGTTTTTAAAATGTTTTAAATTGTTATATTATGTTCTATTATCTCTCATTTGTTCTCGATCATTTTTTCTTTTCAAGAATTATTACGATTATGTAATAATGAAATTAAATTATGATGTAGTATAATTCAAATTAAATACAAATGTAATAGGCAAATAGAAACGATAAGTCGTTTATCATTGTTTTTCTATTTTAAAATCTCATTTAAATTGATAAAATTTAAGTATTTGATATTGATTGAGCAAAGTATTATTTTAATATTAGACTTTTCTAAATGATAACTTTAGATTATAAGATATCCAATCACACAGAATATATCATTAACCAACTGTAAGCACACTCCCACTCTAAGCGCAATATATATAACGAGCAGACTGGTTACAGAATTCATTAAAAGTGAGATCTTCGTCTAAAGTCGAACTAAGCATACTTTTCGTGAAGAACCAACAATTTCAAATAAAAATGAATAATATTAAAAATAAAACTGTATTGGTTACCGGTGGAGCGAATGGTCTTGGATACAAATATGCTGAAGATCTGTTAAGAAATGGTGCCAAGGTATTTCATTTAATATTATTTCATGAAAATTGTATATATATATATATATATTATTTTTGTTCTTTTTTTTTCTAATATTTATGAAACAAATAAATAAGAACAAGTGTCTACTTAAATTTCCAGAGAGTAGCTCTTTTGGATTTAACCAGTTCGAACGGTGGTCAATCTGCTGAAACCTTGGAAAAAGAATTTGGTAAAAGTAAAGCAATTTTTGTACCTTGTGATGTATCGAATGCTACGCAATTCGATGGTAAGATACTAGAGATATTAGAATAGTCGTAAAAGTAAAATAAGTAAATCATAAATATTAATGAGCATTTATACAAAATTGTAGAGGCAGTAAAAACAGTTATTAATGTTTTTCATACAATTGATATCTTCATTAACAATGCCGGTATTTTACATGAAGGCCATTGGGAAAAAATGATCGACATTAATGTCGTAAGTTTTTTTTGTTTTTTTCTTCTTCATTTCTGTATAACTTATTTAATTGATTAATAAATAAAAGAATAAAATAAAAGTTATTTTTCCTTCGTAGACGGGTCTCATTCGTGGATCCCATTTGGCTTTAGATCACATGAGTAAATTAAAAGGTGGCATAGGTGGAACCATTGTAAACATTGCTTCTATTGTTGGAGTTTCTACCGAATTTTCAATGGCTCCCGTATACACGGCAACTAAACATGCCGTAGTTGGATTCAGTGATGCTTTAAAAGTATAATTAAATGCAAATCGAACAAATTCTTACTTAAAGTGTGTGTATTTGATATATTCTTGAATTCTTATCATTATAGAATCTAGAAAAATATACTGGTGTTCGTGTACTGGTCATGTGTCCTGGTGTTACAATTACAAACTTGTTTGACGGTGGAGACGAGAAATATTACAAATATGCCGATCCTAAATTAAAAGATGAACTTTTGACAAAATACCCTCAACAAACGTAAGTGTGATATTTTAACATTTTTTTGGAAATATTTCTTTTTTTTTTTCTCTATCAAAATATATATATATATTATATAATTATTACGTATGTTTTTAAATAAAGGGTAGAAAATGTTTCGCAAGCAATGATGGATCTCATTCAAAAAGGCAAAAATGGTGCTATTTGGGTTAGCGAAGGTGGACAACCACCTTATGAAATTAGTATTCCTGATTACAAGGTATTAAATCACACTAAAGTAAATTAATAATCGTGTTATTAGAAAACATTATACATATTTTTCTTTCTTATTTTCTCTCTTTCTTTTTAACTTTGTTCTAACATTATTCAAATATTATTGTATTATATTCATTCTATTATAATGAAATAAAATTATAATATTTTAAATATATAGTAATAAATATATATGATATAATTCTAATTGTGTATTTGCGTGTTTAATAAATATGCGAAAATTCCAATGAATTGCATTTTCTTAAAATTAGAAAAAAAAAAAATATGAATATTTGTCGAGTTGCAATTCATCCAAAAAAAGAAATAAATATATATATATATATATATATTTTAATACGTTAATTCACAATTCATGTTTTACGTATTTCCACTTGTCAGTATAATAAGCTTTAATTTTGAGATTAGTTATCAAATAACGCCAGTCATGGATACTATGCTTGGTTTCTTTTTTTACATTTTTTTTTTTTTCTAAAAAGATATCGGTATTTCTGATTACAATATTTTTTTTATTAGCTACAGTTAAAATATAATAGTAATTATTTAAACTTTTATTATTTAAAGTTATTTATTTGTTATATTACGCATTTTACGATTTCAACATTTATATTACGTATAAGATCAAATGCACAAATAAAAAAACAAAAAAAAAGAAAAAGATCCTAACTTCATATTTATCGAACGATTATATTTGTTTCGTAAACAATAGAAAATTCATAGAAATTTACAAATTTCAATAGAAATTAATGTCGAAACTTTAACGATGAGTGGGAATATTGGATCGTTCACTTCGAAGGGGTCGAAGATCACGATAGGAAAAGCAGAAAAATATATAGATTCTTTCATATCAGTCGAAAAGAGCTCAGTTTACAATTGGATTTGAAAGTTATATCATTAGAGAAGCTACGTAGTAGACGATATACTTGTCATATTGAACAAATATCAACAATATTTTTTTTAATTTGGTGTCTATTGTTTAAAGATATATTGTATTCATTATTATTATTAAATAAAAATGCAAATAAAGGACAAACGAGCAATAGTAATAGGTGCAGCAAGCAATTTAGGCTTGGCATTTAGCAGAGAATTACTGCGCAATGGTGCATCCGTAAGTAAATATTATTTTCACACTTAGATATTATTATTTACATTAAACTACGAACGATAAAGAGATGTTTGTCTTTCAAAAAAAAAAAAAAAAAAAAAGCGTGAAGAATTCTTAGAAATATTACTTATTTCTAGAATTCCCAGCTACATTTTATTTATTTTTATTTTTTTTTTTAATTACGATCGGTTAACGATAAGATATTTGTATTTATTTATTTATTATTAGAAAGTCGTAATGATTGACAGTCGTGATAAAGAAGGAACAACGGCGAGAGATAAATTAAATTTTGAATTTGGCAAAAATCGAGCTATTTTTCTTCACTGTGACGTCACACGTAATACCGATTTCAATGGTACGTATATATACAATTATTATTATTTCGTAGATTATCATTTTTTCCTTATTAGAAGAGAAAAAAAAGTATGAAAAAAAAAAGAAACTAAATGAATAAATAAAACAGAGATCGTCTACTGTAGTTACGTTAAAGGATGCTATCGATATACTTGGCGGTCTCGATATATTAATCAACAACGCTAGCATGATAAATGAAGCTGACTTTACAAAAGCAATCGAAGTAAACGTGGTAAGTTTTTCTTAACATACACAATATATATCTATATACATATATCTATATATATAAAATCGTTTATCCCTTTTCATTAATAATTATCTATATATTTGATGTTATTGTTGATAATACGTATACATTATTGTTCGATCTAACACGCAGATAAATGTAATAATAAATCTATCATTTATAATCAGACAGCTTTGACTCGTTCCACTTTACTTGGAATACAACAAATGCGTCGAGATTTAGATGGTAATGGTGGTGTTGTAGTTAATGTTTCCTCGATAGCAGGTTTATGGTCTTTACCACAACTTCCAGTTTATTCTGCAACCAAACACGCTGTGGTGAATTTCAGCCGTTCCTTTGCAGTATGAAATTTATTTACACTTATGATATTTTTTCTTCTTCTTCTTCTTCCTTTTATTTTTGTTTCTTCCCCCCCCCCACCACTACCACCACCGATTTACACGATTTAATGTTTTATTTTTTAGCAACCATATCATTATCAAAGAACTGGCGTGAGAATTATAGTACTTTGTCCAAGTTTAACCGAATCTAATCTCGAAGATTTTCGAAACAATCTTAGTGATCCACAAGTTTTGTTCAAGTATCAACCACAAAGGTATGTGTGTGTGTGTGTGTATAAAATTAATTGTTTATTTAAAATAGATTATTTAGTTTTTGTTTTAACAGGGTAGAATCGGTTGCACATGGATTGGTATATGCGATTAGGTGCGCTCAAAATGGAAGTATATGGATCAGCGAACAAGGAAAACCTGTTTACGAAGTACAATTATCCGATAGTTTGCCACAAAAAACTGATCAAATGGAAGAACAAATGTGTTAGAAGGAGAGAGAGGCTGTTTTAAATTAATGACAAAATATTTTCATTCTTTTTTTATTACTTAAACATTTTTTATGTAAAAAAAAAAAAAATGATGACTTTAGATTTAAAAAAAAACAAATGTATATTTTCGTTTTGTAAACCAACCCCTCCGTCCATTTCCAATTATATATTTAAGGTTGTAACAATTTTTGAAATGATATAAAATCTTTGAATCGATCATTTATTCTTTTAACCATTCGTAGTAATTAATCATCGTGTTGTATTATAATTTGGAGGGTGTTTAAACGCAGAAAGACGCATATATTTGTTTCTTTTTCTTGTGTTTATTTTTTGAAAAATTGGAAGTCATTTTTTTGATGATTCCGTGATTTTATCTATAAAAAAGAATCGTCTAGGACTACAAAGGATAATTGAGTGATCGTCCTCGTAAGATAATTACATTTTTAAGCGATAAATATATTCATTCTTTCAAAACTAATCTTTCCTAAGATAATCTTCTTTTTTTCTTTGTTTTTTTTTTTTTATTGTTGATAAAAGTTCAGAGTCATAGCGCGTGGCTGATTATCTTTTGAAAAAAATTATCTTTGTTTACTTCAACGTGAATTGAACTTTCGAACACGAACTTTTCAAAGATTTAACTTAACTTTTTATTTTTTTTAATGCTTAGTATAAAAATGTTACTTAGAGTTTATTTCTCTTTTAAAAAAATGACCAACACGTCAACCTGATGATGTATGCTGATTCCAGCATTAACCAACTCGAGCTGGTTAATAATATCGTTATAATAAAGAACAAAATGTAAGAAAAAAACCGTCCGGCTATTCATTTAATCAAACGTTCGTTACTCGAGGAAAATTATAAATGCATTTTTTATTATTTTTTTCTATTGATAATTACCAACAATAAGAGTGGCGCACGACCATTAATTATCTTCGACTTCTGCCACACGACTGGTTTTATCAAAACGTCTCCGTTGTCTCGTCGAATGCACCATTCGATTTATTATGCACCATCATATCCGTCAAATATATATATATTATAATTTTATTATTGTAACACATAAACACACACACACACACACATACAGACACACGTCATTCAATAATTTTATTTCTAATTAGAAAAATATATGTTTGAGATATTCAAGATTGTTATTAGAATTATATTAAAATATTATTAATTGATTAGAAATATATATTCGCGTTTAAGAAAATATTTTTCCTTTATTATAAATTAATTTATATTTATTTTTATATTTGCGTTTGCACATGTAATTATTAAATTATGATATTATATAATACTTTTGTAGATTGTATAATATTTATATACAATATAAATTATAATATTATCTATTATAATTATTAGTGTTTTATTGTAATTTCGACATTAGCAATTTTTCGGTAATATTTTATTATTGTACATTCACTGATTTACATATATGCATTTTAAATATATTGAGTTTTCTATTTATAATACAAGATAAGAATTGAATTTTTAATAAAATCTAAATGTTTAAAGTCTACGTAAATGCATATTTTGCAATTCTGTACTTCTTCCTCCTATATTATATAATGTTATTTAAATAAATGAACAAATATGAAGTACAAATTGTTAGTGAATAAATTAAGCAAGTTTTAAAGATGACCCTGACTTCGATTGTAAAATAAATTATGTAAATCATAGTTAGAGATAAAAATTGATTGCTTTATATTTCTTTTTTTATACATAGAAACAGACGTATGTATATTTTTTTATCATATGAAATAACGTCAACAACATTATCGTCATGAAAACTCTTTCGTTATGTCAAATATCGTACGATTGCCTTGAAAAAAAGAAAAAAAGTAATTAAAGAGTTCAACCTTTTGTTTAAATTAGATTATCTACTGTATGTGAAAACACAATGACACAAAATGTTTATATAAAAAAAAAAAAAATGACTTTCCACAAATGGGGAAAGTAATTATTATACTTCGATTATTAACTCTAATGACTCTCGGGGTTTATCTTAATTAGAAGAATACTTTGTGAAAGAAAGCTCATTCTTTTTCTTTTCTTTTTTTTTTTCTTTCTTTCTTTTATCATCTTTTCTTTTTAAACTATAACCGAGTTATCAACAAATAACCCGTAGCTTTGATTCTTTTGAGATCAATCTTATTGCCCTCTCTCCTTCTTTTCTTTTTTTAACACACACACACATACACAAACTTATATATAAATGTGTTCTTCTTAGAGAAGAATCTTGACAAAGAGAGGAACCAACCATCCTCTTTGCTCTATCTTAGTTTCCATTTCCAATAAACACGAAACGAATGGTTATATATGTTAATAATGCGTCTCCGATTAATGTTATTTCATTAGTATAAATACCATTCGGAATAAAGCACCGGGTTCAGTTGTCTTCTTCGCGATCATTGAGTTCTGTTCTGTCTCGTTTCTTTCTCATTTTTTATTTTTGTATTCTATATTCATATATTTACATTTTGTCTTATTATTAATTTATTTATTTCTTAGATTTCAACATGGAAACAATAGGTACGATGAAATTTGCCTAATTTTATCTAAAAATTAAAAAAATAAAATATGTTACAAACGTTTATCATGAAACAGTTCATTCCTTCACGTCAGATTTATTATTTATAATAAAAAAATAATTCACAAACACAATTTACAGTTTCACGGATGAGCAGAAGACGTTCCTCGGCCTCAGAAAGGGCCAAGGAATTGGAAGAAATCAAAGGTTTCGTATCTGGTAAAAATATTTTAATAACTGGCGGTGCTGCTGGTTTAGGATACGCTTTCGTCAGTCATTTTCTAAAACATGGAGCAAACGTAAATAGGAGTCATTTAATATTGATTGACAATATAATAGCATTGAAAAAAGAATAATAATAATAATAGTAATGTTTCTTAATGTATTTTAGAAAATAACGATACTCGATATTGACGATGATACTGGTAAAAAGATTGCCTTGGGTATTGAAAAGTCATACGGTGAAAAAAAAGTATATTTCATTCAAACTGACGTATCTAAAAACGAACAATTAATAGGTTGGTACGATCAAAAATAATATATTAAAATATAAAATAATAATAATGTGTCTTTCCTAATTTTTTCTTTGTTTTCAATATTTCTTACACATTATTAATCTTACAGAATCCTTCAAGGAAGCTTTAATGTTAATGGAGGACATCGATATAGTAATTAATAATGCTGGAATACTTGACGAACGACGTTGGGAACGTGAAATTGCTGTTAACATTGTAAGAATAAATTAATAAAATAATAATCGTGTTATATTATAGTAATATATTATATCATATCGCTAAAGATACCAAAACAAAAAAGAAAGAATTATTATTTGTTGTTTACAGACTGGAATGATCTCAACGGCGATGTTGGCTGTAAAAAATATGAGCAGAGAGAAAGGAGGACATGGTGGAATATTGGTGAACATCAGTGAACACATAAATATTTCAAATACTGCACAACTTCCCGTTTATGCAGCGACAAAACATGCTATTATCGGACTCTCACAATCTCTCGCAGTGAGTAATATATGATAACGGATCATCATCTCGACATTTAATCGATTATCTTATCGTTACGTAATTTATATAATCTAAGTGCTGTGTAAACATTTTATTTATCTCTTAGGATCCTGATCATTATGAAAAAACAGGGATACGTGTAATCACGTTGTGTCCTGGATTAACTGAAACCGGTCTAACAGTTGACAGTCCAAACAAATTATTATCTAGAGTTATGAAAGCAGATTACGTAAAAAATTTGGAAAAGGTTCCAACGCAAACGTAAGTTTTATGTTAATGTTAATATTTACAAAACCTTTCAATATTTTCATTAATTCGTCTATCGTATATACTTCCAAATTACGGGAGCGGGGGTTGTAGTTGTGCCCTTTGCTGAATATCCATTGATTGATTCCATGATTGAAAATTCTTCTATTTTTACAGACCATATGTCGTCGCACAAGGTTTGTTAAATATTCTACGTTTTGGTGAATGCGGTAGCATTTGGGTTATCGAAAGTGGCCGTCAACCTTATGAAATTTATGTACCGGATCCTCATACTTTGCGTCGACGTTACAAAAACAACGTAACTTGCGTCGAGACTAAAATTGGAAAAAATCGTAGGACAAATAAAACTTGCGATAATGAAACGAGAACGAGCGTTATTTGCACTTGACTGGAAATATAAAGATAATTTTAAAGACGTTGTTTCAATGACAAGTTGACATAGTACGCATTTTCTCCTTTTTTTTTGTTTATATATACTTTTTTGTTAAGGAACGAAGACGAGAGAAAATAAAAAGAAGTGGAATAAATTTTAAGCCAATTGAGGCGCCGTTTCAGGAATAGGAAATAAATGTTCTGAAAATGTTCAGACACGTCAAGGATCAATGAGAAATAAATAATTAATAAGATACCAAAAGTAAGAGGTCGATTATACTATTACAAAGATTATACACCGCGTATTATTATTTCATCATTTCAGTATTATTCATAGCATTGGGATTCACAATATCCGCTGTACAAAACAAAAACTTATCGTTGGAAAATCGCGTACATCATATAATAATATTCTCCCCACGCGTAATGCAGGAAACTTAAAACGTATATCTTTTTTTTTCTTCTTCTTCTTCTTATTCTTCTTTTCTTCATCTGGTTCTTCTTATTTGTCTACTTTTATTTTATACACACATTTTGTGTTTTTCATTATTTTTTGTTTTATTTTTTTTTTTTTTTATTTTTTCGTATTATTATTATTTTTTTTTTATTATTATTCTCTTAATTATTTATTTGGCCGCACTGCCGATAGACTATGAAGATTTACGAGACCTTTTTTTTTGTCTTTCTTATTATCATTTTTATCGTAATCATTATTATTATTTCATTATAATTATTATTATCAATACGTTATCATTATCATTATCATTATCATTATCATCATCATCATATTCATCAGTTCATCATTATCATCATCATTCTCATCATCATCATCATCATATATATATATATATGATGTATAACTAAATCTTGACTTACGTTATGTATACAATTGTATATATGCGTGAATCTCGGCAAGAGCCATAGAAAAATAACAGTCGCAAATAATACACATACTTTCTGCTTCCATCGCATTATTGTTACAACGTTATCTTTCTTTTTCTTACTTGTCTCTTTCTCTTCCTTCTTCTCCTACCCCTTTTCCTCGTCTAAGGGACATTAATTTTATTCTCCTTGTTTATTTTATTTTTCTCTTTTTATTATTATTATTATTATTATTAATATATTTATGAATTTTTCAAAGGTGCAAATTCGTCGTGCAATACATATTAAATGTGAATCATGATCCGAATTGCGTAAAAACAAAATTATACATAATATACATACGCATGATTCACAAATGTTCATTAGATTTCGATCAAATTAATACATTAATGAATTTTTCACCTGATACATAAAAATTGAATATAGAAATACAAATAACCCAGATCGAGGGAAAAAGGAGGGAAGAAAAGAACACACCAAAAAAAAAAAAATAATAAAGAGGGAATGACGTTATCATTCTTTCCTCTATCCCTCGCAATCCCCAAACCGTTACATTACACACGACAAATATATTTAAATCCATGCTGTTAATTAATAACGACGATATATTGTCCAATCTACTAGCGACAGGTTGGCATTCGTTTTCATTCTTTTATTTTTTTTTTTTTTTAATTATTTTTTTATACTTCTTAAATCATTTTCGCTTATTTTTCTATTCTCTTCCCACCCCCATTCGCCCTTCTTAATTTTGATCATCCTCTCGGCACAATCTTTCAATGAACGACTTTACGAATATAAGTCAATAGCAGACTCGACGTACGTCACATAGGTATAAAGAATTTTTTTTTGTGTTTTTATTTGTTTTTCGTTCATTCTAATTGTAAATACCTTCTAGAATATCGCGTCGTTATTTTTTAATTATTTTTCTTTCTTTTTCTATTTTTTTTTTCTGACTTTCTTTCTTTCTTTCTTTCTTTTGCAAACACGTAGCACTTATCGAAATGGAAGAGTCGAGTCGGTGATTATTAAAGAGACCAAAGTCAATATATTTACTGAAATATTCATATTTTTCCCATATTGTATTTTGTTTTTGTTTATAACATATAAATCTATAAATCGATAAAAATCCAAGAAAAAAAAAAAAAACTTAATAATAAGTGATAATAAAATTTGAAAAATGTTAGGCCACACTTTTCCAATTACAACAAAGTTATATCCACGTTTTGGTCTCTTCGCAGCGATTTAGTGCACATATATATATATATACCACTTTTTAAAGTGAATTTGTACATCCAATTTCAAATCATCCATCTCCTTAAGCTCGCCATCTTTTCTTATTATTCATCTTTTTCATTTATGATACGCTTAACGATACGTTGTATCATTATTTTTCTTTTACTTTTCTTTTTCTACGAATCTCCGTTCGATGGACAATTCTGGTATATAGGACAATATCGATTATTATGTATTTGCATTTGAAACAATTCTCATCACGCATTATTATCGTAATTTCTATATCTTCGAAAGAACTTTCCACACTCTTAAAACTAAATATTGTTTGTTTGTTTGTTTATTTATTTATTTTATCTTCCCTTTCTCTTCTTGTTGTAGAAACTTCTAGTCTGTTTATCTCGAAATTTCGTCTGCGTATTGAAAAAAAAAAAAAAGAAATAAAACACGCGATAATTTAGTAGCTACAAGTAATAACTCCATTCACAGCGTCAGACATTCTTTTACAATTGATAAGTACCAAAGGATATACTTAGTTTCTTTGTAAAAAATACCCTTCGAAAAAATGCAATGAAAACATATATTGTATATATTATTTAGAATTATACATCTCAAGATAGTCATCCGTTAAATGAATACAACAAAATAACATATTCCATAAATCGGGATTAAACGTACGTCTAATATCTTTACCAGAAGATTCATTTTTAAAACTTTTATTTCAGGGTATCATTAAAAACTGAGTATATCCTATTGGTGTTTATATATATATATATATAACTAATGCAAATATAATTATCAGTATATTTTTTTTTTATCATTTTTTTTCTCTGCCACATCTTTATCGAACTATCTCGTTCTACTAAAACACATATACGAAAAGACGTTTGATAATGATTATTACGATACCGAGGCGTATAGAAAAATAATTCTTTAGAAAGAAACGAGATTCGAATTTTAACACGTTAAGCGCCACGCTCATTTTCAAGAAAAATTCCCTTTAAGCCACCCTCATTTTTAAGGAATTCCCGTCAGGCCACGCGCGCCACTTAGAAATATTGTTATACGCTGTCAGCCAGGAGTGACTGACGCGGCCTAACGGAATGTCGAGTGTCCATCACCAGTGGCAGACATAGCACTCAACGTGTTAAATAATAATATATAAGCGAGTAATTTTCATACTCAAACTTATAATAGTTAGTCTGATTTCTTCCCGATACGATGAAACTAATATCTCTGTGTGCTTTTTTTTTTTTATATTACGCCTTTCATATAGATCATATTATAAGATTACGTTTTAATGTAGCATTCTCCTCTGTTTTCATCACTCCAATATTTGTTCGAGAAAAGAACGAATTATAAGCTATATATATATCTTCTTCCAAGAATGCATACGACGTACAACATGAAAATTTGATTACATAAATGATCATCAACGATTCTCGACGCAAACATATGCATATGCATATATATATAGATTTTTATATTTGGATCGTTATCATTATCTAGAGCTAGGAGAAAAGAGAACAAAAATATATTTCTTCCTCGTAGATCAAACGTCTCTTCTACACCAAAAGAAAGTCTGAATGTGAGAGTTCTTTGCGCCCCAACAAAGTCACACACATGCGCTCATACGCGCCATATCGGTTCTGCGCTACACTCCCCATTAATACGACAATCTACAAATTATTATATCCGTTTGCCGATTCATTCAAAATCATTTTTTTTTCTTTTTCAGTTCATATGGGCAGAGCATATATCGTAAAAGCCTTAATATCTGAAGAATACTTATACATAATGCCGCGTTGTTCGTAGTGTGGCATGTTCCATGTTTTACGCCGTTCCAGTTACAAGACGGTTGTTCTGCTGTGACTGAGTAGTAGACTGTTCGTTGGTCGTACGAGCTTGACTACCAGGATTATTATTCTGTTGTTGATTGGTGGGCTTACGATTCATGCCTCGATTACCTCTATATCCACCACGGAAACCAGATCCACCCATATTACCAGCACCTCTTCCGTACATTCCTCCCATACCACGATTGTAGTATCCACGGCCGCGGAAGCCACCGCGTCTTGTCGAAGCCACGCCGAACGTCTCAGAATTCAATTTCCTTTCTGTCCTCCAATCCGTACGCTGGAATCGTCTGTAAATATAATTTACCAAAGTTACTTATACTTATTAACTGATTTGTTTTTAGAACCTGTTTGCAAAACAGTTATACTAACCCTTTACTTCTTTCAACAGCTTCACAGCTAATGTTATCAAAGAATGACTTTGATTTATCATAATGAACAACTTCCGGTTCTTCCTCAGGTTCTCCTTCTCCTGCTCCGGTTTCATTGCCACTATCATCTTTCTTTTCATTATCATTACCACCATCAATTTTTGTTTTTGCCAACTGAGATCTATAAAATAATATTTCTTTATTAATACTTTATATCGATAAATCAATAATAATCAATAATAATCGATAATAATTGAAATAATGTGTATGCGGTGCGTAAACAGGACACTTAAATATTTATTTATGCCTGCATTAAAACCGCATAACTTGCTTTTGCATGATACAAATATTTCCATTTCTTGATATCAATGAAATGGAAATCTCAAATTGTTCATGCGTCAGATGTGAAAACACTAAGATAATAATAGACATACCTTAATTCCTCGAATTCTGTATTAGCTTGCTCAAAATCATAATCGTTATCGAATTTAAGCGTATTTTTGGATTTAGTTGTTCCAGTATTACCAGGCTGGTTGACCCTAAAGCCACCGCGTCCTCTACCTCGTCCTCGCATATTTCCACGATTCATCCAACCACCACGATTTCCTCGACCACCTCCAGGGTGTCCACCTTGTCCTTGCATCTGACCATCAGGTTTCATTCCATCTCTCTTCATATTATTATACTGTGACATACCATTGTTTGTTTTTCCACCAACATGTCTATAGGAAGAAAGAATATTTAACGATTAAACACTCGTGTCTAATTTATTGTTAAATGAAATCAAAATAAATTAACAAATTATCAATAGTAATTAATTATCCTACCCATCATGATCACGGCATGGCGGTTGAACGGTTCTAATGTTTGGCTTCTCAACATGTTTACCCATGCTACTTTGCTGTTGCTGTTGAGGTTGTTGCTGCTGCTGTCCTACTTGTATGCCTTGATCTATTGTTGGACTTTTTCTAGTTAACAATGAAGAAGTTGGTGTTGTTGATCTTGATCCTCCGCTAATAAGATCAAGTACACCTATAGAAAAAAAAAAAGAATTCTTGTTATTAATACATTTCATTAAGTATAACAACAAATGACAGGCCAAAGATTACAAATTTATAGTTATCATTCTGTATGATACTACAATTTTACTAATATCCATTACATTACCGATTAAAAGAATATTTAGAATGATAGCAAAAACTACTATAAATTTTAAACTGTTCTTGCTATTTCATAAATAAACACAGCTTCATGCTTATACGCTGCTTAGATAATAATTCATTGCATTGTCAGAGCAAAATAGAAAGATACAGATGCAAAAGTAGTTCCTTCAAATCCGAAAAAATAATTCATTTCAATAAACCATTACCATTCGTTTAAATATTAAGATATTAATATAAGAAAATCACAATATATATATATAAGTATGCTATTATGATTTTTCTCTTATATGAAAGATGTTAATTAAGTCAATTTACTTATGCACAATGAAATAAAAAAAATACAAAAAGCTTAAAAATACATGTAAATTAATATAACAGTGTAAATGTGCACAAAGCAAAAAGCATTTGCATCTATACATTTGCACAATATTATAAAACAAGTATTTTGCATAGTAAAAGACTCATTCTAGCATAGAAAGTATAGTATTATAGGTTCTTAGAACATATAGGATAATTTCAATGAAAAGAGAAAGTTAAGTAATACGAATAGAATTTAAAATTAATCCAAGAGATGTTATAGAACACTTGCAGTTATTAAAATTATTGAAAGAATGACTATATTACCTATTAAATGCAACCACTTTCCAATATATTCAAAACACAATATAATAAAAAGTAAATTGCAGCAAGCTTTTTACCAAACAGGAAGCAGTACGCATGCCATTGGCAAGGAAAAGATCACAGCAAAAACAGTTTACCATCTTCCAGAGATTGGTCTTTTGGTAATGGGTCGACATTGGCCGTCGATAGTGAGTTTGGGATAGAGATGGCATTGGGTTCAGCAGGGCCCAAGCTCAACTCACTTGGCTGTTTATTCAGTGGCCCACGAGGATCTCTGGCAGTAGTCGGCATGCCCATAACTGGTCCCATAGCTCCCATAGTCATACCATATGGAGTTCCATATTGACCGCCCATAGGGCCCATTTGGCTCATCATCGGATGAGCATAAGTTGGTTGTGGTTGATATGATTGCTGTCCCATAGATGGTTGCACAGTCATCTAAAAATCAATTGCGTTAGGTATATTTCAAGCTAATGTTACATCATGCTATTGATAGATAACATATAAAATAAATAAATATTCTGAAAGATAGATGTTACATTTACAGATGTATGCAATTACCTGAACGATAGCTGGATCATTTGGTATTGAGTTAACATTGTTTACAACTCTGATATCTTTTATGTCCGAGCCACGAAATAGGATGTATTCATAAACTTGATTTTGAGGGGCGACAGGTAATTGAGTTTCTCGGTCTTCTGTTCCGAAAGAACGAACTATAATAAAAATAAAAAAGGTTATAATAAAGGTTAGGTATATATTTATCTCAGTATTTTTATAATAATATAAGAATAATTGCATTTATATCATTTGACAAGAATAATGGGATTAAAATAAAAAAAATAATAATAATAAATATTCTAATTTATTGAAAAAGAAAAATACTTTGAAAATTTAAATATAATCTGAAGTATGTTAAAATAACCTTGAACCTCTGTATGTTTTCTCTATATTTCAGTTGTAAGTCAATGACAAGGACATTGAAATATTGTAAACAAAGAAGCTAGATATATGAATCTTTCCCTACAATGACTACATATATAAAAACAATTATTTCAAATATCAAGCTAATACTAACTTAATATAATCTGTTGAAATAATTAGTAGGACATATATATATATATATATATATATATATATTTATTTGATTAATTTCTGTTAATGAGTAATATTTGTAATATTGTGTGATTTTATGAGAATAGAAAAATAACAGATTAAATCTAAATTCTTTTAGAAAATTAATAAATTAATAAATAATAAAATAAATAATAAAAATAATATTCTTCTCTACCCCCTCCCTTCCCTTCCCCCCTCTCACCACATATATATATATATATATTTATTAAGGATATAGTAAATAATATTAGTATATATATATTAATGAAGTTTAAAATTTAAATCTAACATATCGTCATAAAAGTGATCGTTTGTTTGACCTCAAACAAACAATTTGAAATGATGCCTTTATGGTAGCATATATCTAGAGTTCGTAGTATACTGAAAGCAATGAAGTATCGTAACGCTAATCGTCGTATATATCGTATATATGTAAAATATTAGAAAGTAAAATGAAACCTGATATACCATAGAAATAATACGAAGGCATTGATTAATCAAGAAACATATAAATCACCCGTTATAAGAGTAGCGTTAGAAGGGTGACCCCGGTTGTTTTGCATTTGATCTACCGGACAAATCGAAATCTCGTATGATTCGGAAGCATTTTCCAATTAAACAAATATTTTGGTAAGGTAAGATCGTGGGTAAATTTAAAGTCAGTTTAAGTAAAAAACAGATGAAGAAGATAAGGTTAGATGATAGAGAGAGAGGAAAAAAGAGAAATACGAGAGAAGAGGACAAAAGATTCTAGAAGGAAAAGAACCGGGAAACGAAATAGCGGCAAAAGTAGGTTTGGTATCCATCTTGATTTTTGTACTCACCATTAGCAAGAGCTATTGTACATTCTTGCGGATCAACGGTAAATAGACGGCCCTCATAACGAATATCCGCCTTTGATATTAAACTTATCTTCGAGCCAAGCTCCGGCATTCCTCCGCTCATCTTGATGCGTTTTCTTTTGTACGTGATCGATGCGATATTCTACGATTCACATTACCGTCTGACGAACGTAGCAGCTGACACCAATGGTCGACGGCGGACTAAACTGTTAACAAATTGGCGCATGCGTCACGCCCTCTCCCATCATTACCTTCAAACATTGTAATTTGCAAAGTGAAAATTTAAAAAGAATTTTAATTTTAATTTATTTAAACATTCATTTAATAATTAAATATGATAAAATATTGGCATTATATTTATATAATTATACGTTTTAATAAAATATTYATTGTTTTAATTTATTTACTTCATTATTTCGATAATTCGAAAAATAAATTTGAATGAATGAATGAAATATATTTAAAAAAAAAAAAATAAGTTTGCAATATTATGGAAATATTTCCCATCTTAACTTTTATTAACATCTGCTTTAATCTCAATAATGCAGAAAAATAATTATTTTATTTGGACAAACAGTATTTTATTATTTACTTTTAAATTAATAAAAATATTTTTTATTAATATTTTTCAAGTTTCAACTAATGTAAAACGTATTTATCGATAATAAACAGTAGTTATTCAAATAATTCGGAATTTGAAAAATGTTATAAGGCGGGAAATTGAAATTAATGAATATTTGTTTCTAGATATCAATATTTCGAAAGAAAAATTGTTATTATCAAAGTTAAATCTTTTCAATATAGAAAATTAGTATTTAATTCGAATGAAAGTTTGAACTCAATGCAATGCAAAGATCTTCTTATTTTTAGATAAGGTCTTGTAATCTTCTTTATCGAATTGAAGAATTTGTCTGTTCGGTTTTCTTCAGTTGCTAGATTGACTAACGCCTTTAATACATAGCACCTCTGGCCAAGATGGCGGCGACACTAGGACGAATTTGTAAATCTGGTCTTTTAAAACCAAATTATGGAACTTTGTTCACTCAGGTAAAAAAAGTACATATAATTAATAAAATCGATTAAATATTTTGATTTGAATAATAAATAATATTTTATATTTAATGATTGATCTTATACACGATTGACATCGTCGATCAAATCTCTAGATATTAACTCGAACAAAACTACTTGTCGACTGCTATGACATTTAATTCTTAATATTTAATCCGAAAAGAGCATCTCTTTTATCAATGTCACATAAATGTATTGTATTATAATAAAAGTTATATTAATTTGAAAAGTTTCAAAAGACATTTTAATACATGTTATGTAATAGTAATCTCTAGACAAAATCATGATGCTGCCATCATTAAACATGTGTTAAAATTGTATTAAAATATGAAGAATATATGCCAAAAATGAACACATGTTAGATACTTTATTATGCGTATATAAAATTATGTATAAAAAATAAGTAATAATATAATACTAAAGATTTAACACACATCTATATAATTTTATATCTATTGTATAATTTAATCATGTAATATATCTTAATGAGTTCATTGTGATTTTACAGACCAATAATTTCTCTACAACAAAAGAATGGTCCAGAAGTCGAAAATTGGTAGGTGTCTTTTAATTAATCAATAGGAGTTGTCCCTTTACCTTCATTCCCTCCTCCATATTTTTCTAGTAAGTTATAACATCTACTGTTAAGTAATAATTCTTAGATTTAATTTATATTTCTTACCGGAGAAAATAATTTTTTTGTACTCTAATTAATTTGTTATATTGTATATCATATATATTGTATATTAAGTTGACATATTTATAATTACAGTTAGTGACATGTTTAGGATTAGCGACTGGAGGTATTGGTACTTTAATTTATGCATTGGAAAGTTCTATAAAAGCCGATCTAGAAATAGCTCATCCTGCAAAATATAAATGGGATTTTTATGGAATGTTTAGCTCATTAGATCATGCAAGGTATGCATCTATCTGCATTGCTGTCAAATATTGTATATATATGGTTTAGCGGTTTAACAATATTCATTTAAATTTCAGCGTGAGACGAGGATGGGAAGTTTATAAAAATGTATGTTCCGCTTGTCATAGTATGGAATATTTAGCATATCGTCATCTTGTTGGTGTTACTCATACAGAGGATGAAGCAAAGGCACTTGCCGAAGAAACACAGGTGATGTACAAATCAAAATCTTTTATTAAAAGTATAGCTTATTAAATAATTTATATACTTGATTGTTTCATTATAAATTAGGTGCAAGATGGTCCAGATAACACTGGAGAATACTTTATGCGTCCTGGAAAATTATCAGACTTTCTTCCAAAACCATATCCAAATGAGGAAGCTGCTAGGGCAGCTAACAATGGTGCCTTACCACCAGATCTTTCACAAATCATTAATGCTAGGCACGACGGAGAGGTACCTTCTTTTTATTATTATTATATTCCTTGATTTATAAGACGTTTAATGTCATTAATTTGCTTATGTTAAATATAAATCTATTTTACAGAACTATATATTCTCTTTATTGACTGGATATTGTGACCCACCGGCAGGAATTAAAATCCAAGATGGTCAATACTTTAATCCATATTTCTTAGGTGGTGCTATTGGTATGGGACAGGTAATTTATAATTAATTGATAACAATATACACAATAATATCATATTCTGTAACATATTGTGTGTAATTTCTAACCATGTATGCATAGGTTATTTATGATGAAGTTTTGGAGTATGAAGATGGTACTCCTGCTACTGCTTCTCAAGTAGCAAAAGATGTTACCACATTCCTTATGTGGGCAGCCAATCATGAATTTGACGACAGAAAAAGATTTACTATCAAGGTAAAATATTCTTGTTGCTTTTAAATTTAAAGATTATATAATTACTGTATATTTTTGTAACATGTTCATATTTTTTTATATAGACTATTGGAATTGGTATAATAGCATTAGCTGGAATTATTTATCTAAAGAGACATACATGGACTGTTGTCAAAAACACAAAATTACTTTACGTCCCTAAAAAATCGAAATAAATCCATCGAAGCGTAAGCTTAAAAAAAATGTTCTTGATGGCCCTGACATCAAGGAATGTAATGTAGTTTTATAAATTAATTATTATAATTCGACATTTTTAGCTATTTCCAAATCCGGAAGCTGCCAATATAGCATTTGATGCATGTTCGATTCACTTAACTCTCAAGTCAATAAACGTGTATATTGTACATAAATATGCAAACAATGTTATTATCGGCCAACATAAATAAATTGTTAAAAGTAATGAAATTTACCTGTAGTTTATAGTTGTGTATGTTAAAAAGCTTTTATTATAATAATTTAATTTAATTTTATTTGAAAATTATAAATATGTTAAAAAGGAAAATATTATACAATAATTGAGAGAATATTTTTCTAAAGACATTTTTTTTTTTATTTTTAAGCTTCATTTTATCGACATAGAGTAATAATTATTTAATATGAATTAGATTACACTATTACATTACTGATAGTGTAATACTGAAATACAAAGCTGATCAGAGGTATGTATAGTATTTCAGGTAAAGTTTCATAACATTAGATAATAATTATTCAAATACCTTCGTAAATTCATACTTTGGTCTAATTGAATATAATCTAAATGCAATAAAACAGCATACATATAATGCAAACCGAAGGGAAAAATTCATGAAATCATATTACATTGCAAATAATTTATATGATCATAGTTTTCTATTAGCAAGATAAAAAACGAAAATAAAAACATAACAAAGAAATGTATCCTTGCATATTAATCTGATAAAAGATTTGTTTTAAACTTGTTTTCAAGTTTGATAATAAAGGATTTATATTTGCGAACTTTGGATCAATATTGAATTTTAAATATGATAGTAGTCACAGTACATCAATTATGAAGCTTATAACATAAATATGTATTTATTAAGCATGTACACATTTTCTAAATGGATTACCAAATTTAAATATAATCAGAATATACATAGATGTGTGTCGCGTTTATACTGGAATGAAAAGGTAAATGAAAATGTAAGTTGCAATGCTTCATAGATTAATGTACTCTTGCTGGGTGCAACGCATATACCATGTATCCTATCTTCTACTTTGAATCAAATTACGACCTTCTATATTTCTGTTATGATTACTTTCCGTTGTTTATTTATTACACGTTTGATGATCCAAGTAATATAACATATATTCTTTTGTATAAAATAAGAGGCCGTATTTGGACGATGTCTCAATAAACGGACGTCAAAAGTATGTCCATTCTAATCCTGTTTTATACAAAATTTTGGATGAATTCATTTTTAATAATCTAACTTTTGTTAGATAGAATTTTCTTTTACTTCTTGTCACTTAGTCATATCAAAGGAATTATGTTCCAATGAAGATTTTATTCTGTAAACTTCGTTTCAATGTATCTGAATTATAAATCCAAGCTACCTACGTATTACCAATTGACCAATTTATCAAAATTTACATAGGTTTAGAAACTTTCACAGTAATCCGTCTCTATGATTAATTGAGACAACTCCATAAAATTATAATTTTCAAATCATAAGAGATGGCACTTATTTATAAACAGAAATATTAGTTGGTTTGTATATTAGAGATTGTTTTTTTTTTTTTTGTTCTTTTCTTCTCTTTTCTCTCCTTTTTTTCATTTGTTCTTTCTCTCTTTCATTTAAAAAACTTCAAAGGCATAATTTTTTTCTTACTGATTATTATTTTTATTAGACAATCGGTGTATTCAGTTTAAGATTCAAAATATGTTGTGTGTGACTTTTATTTGTTTTATACCATAATAGCTTGAAAAGTTGGAATAATATATTTTATGAGCACATACCTCATAAGCATCTCAGAAACAGTAAGCGGTAATAATCTCTTAAGATGAGAAAGATTACGGCTATCGTGTAACAGTTTTATTACCTAAAATTACAAATAACTTTTTACATTAGAAACATGCGAACGGTTAAACATGACCTAAAATTTAAAGGACGAACAGCTCTTCTCTTTCTCGGCTTACCTAAACACAAAATTCATATCCAACTTTTCAAGCTATTATCGCCTTTCTTTCGTAAAGGCATTACATCTTAGCATATATTTCCACCGGGCACCATTTTAGTATTATTTGGTACCTCTATTATTATATCTCTCCTCGTGCTACCATAAAAAGGAAGAGGTGATAAATTTATATGTGGTTAGGCTAAAATGTACTGCCCTCTGGTGGCTGAGAAAGTTTCATATTCTCTTTGAGTGTCATGAGACGACGCAGCTCTTGCAAAACTGTCTTGATTGTGTATTCTCTTTGCCATTTGGAAAGTACTGGTACATTGCGATTGTCAACCTTATTGTAAATTACAATATAGATTATAAAACAAAATTAAAAAGACATAACTGTAAGAGAAAACTAGTTTTCAATACTTACAGCTCCGGTAGTGCTATTGATACAATTCATATTAATTCTGCTTAAAAACTTTACACTGGGTGCTTCGTCTGGGTATTTCTGACCACAATCAATTTTCAAACTATACATTCTATTTTCATACGGCGTCTAAAAAATATATTAAATTGTGCTAACAACTACATCTTGTTAGATTGAATAATGTCTTATAAAAAAGTTAATCGTGTCAAACAATTTACACTTACTCTAGGTGGTCCAATTATCATTCCGGTCCAATGTGTAAGCGTCATGTCATCATCATTTTCTAATCCCCAACTAATTGTACCATCTCCTACACCTTTCTGACCCTGTTCTAATTCCTCCAGCAAACGAAAGTTTCGAGGAACAACTACGAGAAATGTCAATGTAGAGAAATATCCATTAAGCTGAGGGTTGAAATTATAGAAATCATATTAGTGCACGATACAGGTTATGGGCTCAAAAAATTAAATGCATGCTGCAATCTTCCAGAAGTCTTTTAAGTTTTCTGTTTAAATCAAAGGAAAAATAAACGAAAAAGTAATAATTGATATCACTGATAGATACGAAATATAAGCTGGCAGTATATAAAAAAAAAAAAAAAAAACAGAGGAAATGTAGACTTCCAAGATAAATTGACATACATTGGTAACATGACGGATCCCTAATTTACAGGAATGAACGGATAAATGTGTATTGGGTTGCGTCCAGATTATCAAGAAAAAAATAAGAAGAAATGAAATGAAAGGAATGCCAAATAAAATAATATTCTTAAAGGTAAGGACTGTCGTAATAAATGACGTTGAAAATATTCAATCTGTATCGATAAAAAAGGTTTCGTAGAATGGAAAAAATACTCACCTACACCGGTAGTGGGTACCGCCATGATATTTCGTATTTCTGTGAAGCACTGTATTTTTTCCCAAAGGAATAATTAATTTAACGCAGGCCAATCCTACTAGTCAATCTCCTTTTAATGCACGCGTATTAACTTGGATAGAGGTTTTTCATTACCCAATTAGATGAGAATAAAATCAAATCTTAACTTTCGAGTAAAATTCACTTTGCGAAAATTCACCCAACCTCCGCGAGGTTGTCTATTTCCACAAACTTTCCACACTATAGAATGGCTTCCTTACGTCAAAAACGTCAACATCTTGACTAGTGTCACGTTTGTTCACCGATGTCGCTCTTTGACAAACTTTCAACTTTCAAACTTTCTCTCGATTTAATAGATCGAACATATTTTTTCATTGTAAGAAAACAAATCGAAAGAACATGAATGAATTGAAAAAAATACTAAAACTAACGAAATTATTTTTACGAATTATTTGATAAATCAACATGGCCGTCTTATTCGTTTGTTACGAAAGAGCGGGATTTTTAAAAAAATCATTTAACGAACATTTCGGATAAATTTGCCCCAAAATAAAATAATATAAAAAAGATTCACAAGACGAGTATAATAATATTGATTTTTTGTTTGTTCATAATGAAATTAATTATTGACAGGATAAAAAGAGACGAAGAGTGGATGACCGAGGTGGGGTGGGGGGTACCGAATTCGGCTAACTACGGGGGTGAGGAGAGGGGAGAAGAAAGCAAGAGAAATGGCGTCGAGTAGTTGGTAGTGGGGAGAAAGTCGGTAGTATCGTGCCGGCTGCGCAAGAGCAGCCTGCAAAGGCAGCTTTTCCAATAATGAACAACCCGTGGTAACTGGTAACTGTCAGTCCGCTCGTGGTGCATTTCGTTGACTGTTGTGTGTTGCACCACGCTCGGTGTGCGTGCGTGTGCGTGTGTGCGCGCCGTGTGTTGTTTTTATCCGGTGTTTTAAACAGAAGAGAGAAGAGACAAGGGTATCTTCCTCTTTCAAAAAAATAAAAACAAAAATTGACAAAGTAATAAAAAAAAAAAAATAATAAATAATGTGATTTAATTAAAGAGACGACGACGAATTGACACGATTATCAATTCGGTCCTTTTTCCCTGAGATTTCGAAGGACGAAAGAAAAAGAGAGGGGATTTAATTTCCAACAGAAGAAAGAAAAACAAAACGTGTGTTTTCGTGTTACCTGGGCTATCGTCGTGCGATAACAAGAAGGGTATGTAGAAACAAATATTATATTCCTTTAAGAAACGATTAGCTCTGATACATGGGATACTTTGTATTTTTTTTTTTATTTGCATATTTTGACAACTGCTAGGATACACCTAACCACCCATACACCCACTCACCCACCTATCTACCTACCTACCTACCTACCTACCTACCTACCTATCTACCTACCTACCTACCTACCAACCAACCTACCTACGTACCTACCTACCTATCAACCAACCAACCAACCAACCAACCAACCAACCACTGGTGCCCACCATGATAAACAAACGGAACGCCATTGACCTTAAGCTCGCGAGATTTCCCCGTTGAGGATTTTGCAAGGATACGTTTTCTTTCATAAACTTTCGTTAAGATTTTATATTTAAAGATTTCTTTTCTTGATCATTCTCTTTTTTTGTAGAGGGGGGGGGAGGGATTTGTTTTCTACCTCTTTTAGTTGCAAGCGTCTCGTCTCTCTTTCTCTCTTACTCTCTTTCTCTCTCTTTCTTTTTCTCTCTCTCTCGTGTCGCTTCGATCTGCGTATCTCCGGTGTGTGTTGCTATCCGCTCGCTAGAAAATACCCCGGCCTTTCTAGATATATATACTTACTTAACTTACATATGTATTTGTACTTGTCTACCAGTAATACATACGTAAACGTTTTTCTAAATGATCCTTTTTCTCTCTCTCTCTCTCTCTCTCTCTCTCTTTTTCTCTTTCCCTAGAAACATTTAATAATGATAAACAATAATTTTAAGGTATATAAATTTAATGAAAGGATAACTTGTAGCGCGTGACTTAATTCATGAAAGATTTAGTCAGCTTTATTAACTTGCATTAAAATCCGCAAGATTTGGTGTGCAAAGTGTTTGCATTTGAAGTGGCAGTCTGTTCCTTAGCGACGAATTGCTAGTCTCTGGAGCATGGAAACGAGAGAAAAGCAAAAGGACGAATACGAGAAAGAAGAAGAAGAAAAAGAAGAAGAAGAAGAAGAAGAAGAGGAAGAAGCAAGCATTGATTTCATTTCATTCTGTATTTGCGTATGCTTTCTATTTATACGATTATATCTCATTCAATTATACATATTTGTTCATTTTATAGTTTCAACAATTCTCTCCAATTCTTTTTGTTAATTGTTAAAGATCGAGATTGATCTATAGATCCAAATCTTCTTAGGTATAATGGTTATTCAAGAAAGTTTCAAACTTTGCTTAATGAGCAGTGTCCTAATTGGGAGATCTTTGATTATATTCAACAGGATCATTAGCAAGTTTGTTTTAACGAATAATAAACTATTCATAGGAATGCTCTTGTAGATTACTTAACTGTATTTCAAAAGTACTTAGTTCATCCCCCGAAAAAATGAAAATCAAAACAACAGCAACAAACATTCAATATCGATTTATATTAACCCTTTGCAGTTAGAGTTTTTATCGTGATTATACAAAAATGTATTGTAACGTTAAATCGATACGTATCAACCATCGAGTACAAATCATACGTGAATTAAAAAATACATTTTTTTAAAAATATAATTATATTTTATAATCGATTATAGCAATGAAGAAAAATGATCAGACAAGATACGTAATTAAATTATATTTGTATTTCGTTTCAGTATGGGTTTCACTAATAACCATTACGATATCAAACACCTATACAAAACAATGTTCTAAATTTTCAAATCAATGAAGGTACTTTTGGGTCACCCTATATGTATTATAAATCGTGTTATAGTTCTAATTCGATGTTGTTCATAATGAATCGTTGATACGTCGATCATGATATCGTAGAATCGATCGAGAATCACAACTACAAATCTAGGTTCCTCTTATCAATGGAATGAGATTGTGAAAGAAAGAAGGAAAGAAAAGAAGAATGAAGGAAGGAAGGAAGGAAGGAAGGAAGGAAAGAGTGAGAGAGAAAGAAAATAAAGGGTTAACGTGACTTGGAATCAGGGCAAAGTAGAAGTCCGCAGATCGTGGCACGCAACCGGTTGGTCGCAACAAACTTTCCTCGATTGTAAATCCGTCGTTACGTATCTTCTTTGGCATGCGCGCGCGCGCGCGTTCCTATACGCCATAGCATTATAGCGTTATAGTGTTATAGCGTTATAGCGTTATAGCGTTATAGCGTTACGACGAGCTTTCACCGCACGCGCCCACTTTGCAACGTGAATTGACCGTTATCATTTCGTATGTTATTTATATATATATATGTTGCATATGTTCATATGTTAATGCTAATAAGAGGACAAAACTGTAAACGCTAGATAAGAGAACAAAAATTATTATTTTAGGAAATATTCATTTAAAAAAGGGATTTATTTTTATCAATCTTAATTTAAGCGTTATTATCATTGCATATGTTATTCATATAGTACATATGTTTATACATAGCGTATACACGCATATCTCTATATTTATGTTGATGTTAACAAGGAGGGGGGGAATTTAAACACGGAACAATGAGAAAAATAATAATTATTAATTAATGAAAAATTCATGAAAAAAAAAATAAAAATACAAGGATTTACTATATCAATTTCAATTGTTCGTTCTTATCATTTTATATGTTACACTACTCTTGTATATCGTATCGTGTATATGCATATACGTTGATATTATACTAATAAGAAGAAACAAAAAGTAAACGCAAGATGATGAGAGAAAGCTCATTATAAAAAATAGATTTAATATCAATTTCATTCGTTGTATATACGAAAGAATAATAGTAGAAATAGAAATAGAAATAGAAACGGAGATTGAAATGATCGTAAGTCAAATCATTTGAAATTCACGGCCCAACGTTTTTTATTATGCAAGTCTCATGTCAATGTCGTTTGTCCGTCAATAATACGAGGAGGGTCTTCTTCTTCACGCGATTCCTCGAGATTAAGGTCAAATGACTTTAGTGATCATGGTTACGACACTATTTCGATGAAATTCGTACGCGTTGTTGCATTTATCAAAAAGAAGAAGAAGAAGAAGAAGAAGAAGAAGAAGAAGAAGAAGAAGAAGAAGAAGAAGAAGAAGAAGAAGAAGAGGAATTGTAAAAGCGATTGGGTCGATTCGATTCGTGGGCGTTGCAAATGTTTTACAATGTCAGATAATTATTTTCCCAATTTTTTTTATTAGGTTCTTCTTCTTTTTTATTATTATAATTACAAATTGAATGAAAATAATTGCAACGAAAATAATGTAAAAAAAAAAACGACGAGTGTAAAATGGACGTTGTAATTCTCGTTTATTCATTTTCCAACCTTGTAAAACTCGTCTAAGGATGGAAAACTCGAAAAGAGAGTTAAACAAAAAATATATATAAATATATATAAAGAATAAAAAGTGTTGAAAGACTTTCACCAAAGAGGGAAATAAGAAAAATAGAGAGAAAGAGATGAAACAAAAAGAATCTCATGTTACTTTTTAAAAATCATTCTATCAAACATGAAGTAATCTCTAAGGAATATCCTAAGATCAATGAAGGCGTTCTTTTTCTTTGATACTACAGTGAGATAAAGAGAGAGAGACTAGTTTGTTAAATGTCAACTTTCGATGTGCTTGCATTAGTGTGTATATGTATATACAGGTATATAACGTAAAGAGTACATATCTTTAATAGGTCAAACAACGTTTTATGTATTCCGTGTATTATACTTTATCCAAAAGATAGCAGCTTCTTAATTACACTTTAAAACCTTTTTAAAACTCGTATTTTACCTCCTTGACGTCAAAACAATAACTGTTTTTCATTTTTATAACATATATTTTAAAATTTATTACTCCATAAAATAAATGTAAAAAAAAATAAAAAAAGTTAATGATAATATAAAATTATAATTAGCTTTTAAATCTTAATAGTTATGCAAACAATTTTGGTTAGTTACTAGTAGACGTGAATATTGAAAAAAAAAAAAGAAAAATATCACAGGGGGTTGGAAGGGAGAGGGTTTAAGGGATTGAACAAGTTTTCTATCGAGATCCTTCCTATTCGATGTCTTCTTCTTCTTCTTCTTTTTTTTTTTCTTCTTCTTCTTCTTCTTCTTATCGGTTTGAATCAAAGACAGAATAAGTCGTAGGACGACAAGGAAAATTGAAGAGGAAAAAGGCTCAGAGGTATTATAAAAGAAAATCGATTGGCTATTACTCTACGTCACACTCCTTCGTAAAGTGTCTTCCAAGTGAGGTCGTTGAACTTTTTCTTGCCCACTTTTCCGGATGATCTTTGAGAGATCTTCAAATCACACTTTATAGAATAGAAAAGTGTTTAGCTCGCTAAAGCCTCCCCCTTCCTAACCCTCACAATATACTTTCCAACATGTTGCTATGCATGCATCCGATATTTAAATTTCATGAAAATTGCATAAGTTTCAATTTGTTTCAACGTTTATTGATTTTGATCAGTTAACTCTCGAGAGTGAGATATCAACGTTGATTAAAATACCTGAAAGTGTTTTTTTCCTTTTTATTTATGTTAGTCAAATGACAAAAGTTCATTTTGATTTTAAAGTACGTACGGTTTAAATGTAAATCATAAAACTTAGAAAAACCGATAGATATTCAACGTTCATAGTCATTTTTTTGTTAAATTAATTTATTGTTCAACAGTCGTACGAGGTTTTATTATTTAATGCTGTTAAATTTATTATTAGGATAAATAATTTAAAAAAAAAAAAAAAAAGATTGAAAAGTCAAACATCTATTAAGTACTTTCGAATTAAAATTTATACAAGTTCTAAAAGTTGAAGTCTAAAGTTGTTTTGATTTTGCTATTAGTTCATTTAAGTTTCACGAAATATGCATTGGTTTTAGTTGGTTTTTATTTTACTTATTTTTTTTTTTCTTTTTTTTGTAATTTGCAATTTGCCGTCTGATATCGTTGATTTCTTTTTTTATACTTTTCTTTATCTATGCCAATTATTTTTAATACTTTTAATTAACTAATGCACACGCGTGTATCACAAAATGTAACTTGTGTAAGTAATTTTCTTTTTTTTTTTTT